GTATTCGGAAAGTTCCCTGACAAATGCAAATAATCTTACACAAACTCAACACTGAAAGTGTTGTTATCAGGATTTGAACATGGAATCCTGGATCTCCCAGGTTAGACGACAAAATCATTTACTCACGTAGCACTCCTTGCTCATTTTTTAACCATAGTGTGTGGTACGCGTGGATGATTTTGTCAAATTATGGACGGGCCGACGAGGCATACTTTCTTTTTACTATTCTGATATGCAAAATGCCAAAAAAATAATTTATTATTTAACGTTATAAGTAAACAACACGACTTAAGTCAATAAATCTTATAATAAAAACATTATAAATGCGACGTTGGTTGGTGTTTCAAATCTTGGCGGAAAGAATTACTCCTTCCGTCTCATAATTATTGTCTAGTTTAGATTTTAATTTATAGTTTAAATTGTACTAAAAGTGAATTTTCAAACTGAACAATAATTTTAGGACAAAGGGAGTATGAAAACAAAAAAATACTATATAATAATAAAATAAAAGCAATAATGAACATTACATGGAGTAATTAATGAAATACCAACACTACAAAAATCACATTAAACCCGTTTCACTATCCTTTTCTTTTTCTTTTTTTCTTTTCTTTTTTTTTTTTGGTGATTGTTCCTAAATTTTTAAGGATAGGTTATAGCGTATGTGTTGGAATCGTCTAAGTGCGACAATAATTCGGATGTAAGTATGTATATAATACTCGTACTGACTTACCCTTTGAATAGTCAATATGTAGTTTTCGTTAATTAGGTAAAACACATTTTTACTAGTTTTAGCAAACTTGTCTACATATAAGGACACAGATCCTCTTGTAATTAATTAACGCAAATGATCAATAAATCAGATTTTCAATATAGCTTCTAGAAAGCGCCGTATCCACCAACCCCGAACCGCCATAGCTTCCAGCATCAACCCACTCGCTAGTATATACAATGAATGGTTAAATAAGAATTAAGTTTGGAAATCACAAAAATATCATCCCATTAAAAGATTAAACCGCACAAAATGTCCTCTATGTAGAGGTTGTATCCAGTATATCCGGGGGCACCGTACCCCCCTCCTATTTTTTGCATTTTTAGTCTTTATTGTACTTTTTTTCTCAATCTTTCTATATTTTACAAATTTAGTCCCTGTGACTTTTTTTCTCTCTCCTTTAAAAAATATCTCCAATCTTTCAATGACCATATCTCATAATCCGTAAAGAATTAGAGAACGTATTATGCATGAAAATTATAGTACTCGTCGAGATCTATTCAACAAAATCCATTTCGAATATTTTTTGAGTTTAAAAATGATCAAATTTCTTTAGGCAGAATTAAGTTGGATATCCAGTAAGTTGGATAACTAGTATGCACGAGTTGGATAACCAGTATGAACAAAGTGGATAACTAGTTCAAACAATTTGGATAACCATGTAAATCCATTGGATAGCATTAGCGCATTGGATAATCCAATACAAACCAATGATTGGATAACCAATACAAACAAGTTGGATAACCAACTTAGTTTATTATTTTTTAAAAAAATAATAAAAACAAAAACCAGGTTGGATAAATAATACTAATTAGTTGGATAATCTGTCCATCAGAATTAAGTCATTTTTAAGCCCAAAAAAATGTTCACTGTGAATTTCGTTGGATAGATCTCGGCGAGTACTATAAATTTCATATATAATTCGTTCACAAATTCTTCACGGATTGGGAGATATGCTCGTTGAAAGATTAGAGTTGGATATGCATACAAACCAAATGGATAGATATTCAGTACAAATAAGTTAGATAATCAGTATGAACAGAATGGATATCCAGTTTAAAAAGATGGATAACCAACTTATTTTACATTCATATTATTCTTTTCTTTGTATCTAATGATTCGTAAAGAATTATAACACGAATTATATATGAAATTTATAGTACTCGACGAGATCTATCCGATAAGATCTATTTTGAACATTTTTTTTTTGAACTTTAAATGCATTTAAATTTTACGGACAGAAATGAAGAAATGTGTTTTTTGTTTCTCTTTGAAAAATGGTTATCCGTTATGTTCCTACTGATTATCCAACCGGTTTGGACTGATTATCCATTCTATTCGTACTTGTTATCCAATCATATGTTTGACATTCACTCTTCAAAAAAAAAAAAAAGAGATGGATAACCACCTCTATTCTGCCCGTCAGAATTAAGTCATTTTTAAGCTCGAAAAAATGTTCACTATGGATTTTGTTGGATAGATCTCGACGAGTACTATAAATTTGATATATAATTCGTTCATAAATTCTTCACGGATTGGGAGATATGCTCGTTGAAAGATTAGAGTTGGATATGCATGAACACAGTGGATATCCAGTACAAACAAGTTGGATAATCAGCATGAACACAGTGAATAATCAGTATTAGCGCATTGGATAATCAATATGAACACATTGGATAACCAGTTCAAACAATTTGGATAACCATGTAAATCCATTGGATAACCAGTATTAGCGTATTGGATAATCAACATGAACACAGTGGATATCCAGTTTGAGAAGATGGATAACCAACTTATTTTACATTCATATTGTTGTGTTCCTTGTATCTTTTGATCCGTAAAGAATTATAACACGAATTATATATGAAATTTATAGTGCTCGACGAGATCTATCCGATCATATCTATGTTGAATATTTTTTTGAACTTTAAATGCATTTAAACTTTACGGGTAGAAAATGAAGAAACGTGTTTTTCGTTTTTCTTTGAAAAATGGTTATCCGTTGTGTTCATGTATCCAACCGGTTTGGAGTGATTATCCATTCGGTTCGTACTTGTTATCCAAGCATATGTTTGACATTCACTCTTCAAAAAAAAAAAAGATGGATAACCACCTCTATTCTGCCCGTCAGAATTAAGTCATTTTTAAGCCCGAAAAAATGTTCACTATGGATTTCGTTGGATAGATCTCGACGAGTACTATAAATTTCATATGTAATTCGTTCACAAATTCTTCACGGATTGGGAGATATGCTCGTTAAAAGATTAGAGTTGGATATGCATACAAACCAAATGGATGGATATCCAGTACAAACAAGTTGGATAATCAGCATGAACACAGTGGATAACCAGTACAAATAATTTGGATAAGCATGTAAATCCATTGGATAACCAGTATTAGCGCATTGGATAATCAATATGAACACATTGAATATCTAGTTTAAGAAGATGGATAACCAACTTATTTTGAATTAAGAAGTTGGATAACCAAATGTATAAGCAGTAGAAACAAAATGGATAACGAGTTTAAACGGATTGAATAATCAGCATGAACACAATGAATAACCAATTTAGAACAAGTTGGTTATCCATCTTGTAAAACTGGATATCCATCCCTATTCTGTCCATCAGAATTAAGTCATTTTTAAGTCCGAAAAAATATTCACTATGGATTTTGTTGGATAGATCTCGACGAGTACTATAAATTTCATATATAATTCGTTCACAAATTTTTCACGGATTGGGAGATATGGTCGTTGAAAGATTAGAGATGTTTTTTTTTGGAAGAGAGAGAAAAAATGACAGGGACTATACTTGTAAAATATAGAAAGATTGATAAAAAGTATAACAAGGGCTAAAAATGCAAAAAATAGGAAGGGGGACACGGTGCCCCCGGGTATACTGGATAATTTGCCCTGTATGTATGTTTTGAAAAGACACATTTTCATCTCATTTCGTCCCAACTCCCAAACATGCAATTTTATAACTTTTTACGTCCCATAGCATCATTCCGTCTAACGTGCTCTCAAAAGATTAGAGTATTTTTAGCAGTTTGGCCGGTTTATAGTTTTCTGCTAAAACTAAAGTATGAAAATGGTCATTTATATTAAGTCAAATGCAGCCGTTTGATCAGATCCGGCATCAAGTCGACAAGGGCAATTTTGCTATCCCACAAAATTTACAAATACTTAAGTAATAAATCTACAGAAAATAACAAGATAATAAAGAAATTCTTATTTTCTTTTACTTTCTTCTACATATCGAAAAGGTAAAATATGTGGGGCCGAAGATTGAAAACTAGCACAAAGTTTCTTTAACTTTTGCTCATATATTATACCTTTTCAATCATTTTTTTTTTTGTTAATCTTTTCGGCTTATTTTCTTTACTTTAACCTAACCACCACTTTATCAATTTCATACTATTTATCAGTCAAATCTTAAGAACCCTAGTTAATATAATCTCTAATAAAATAATATTATAAATTGGTTCTAAAATTATCAAAACAGTATTAAAATACTCAATTACATCCTTGAAAAAAAATTCAACAGAATAACATTAAAATAATACGATAAAAATAATATCAATTTTTTTCAAAAAAAATTAATTTTTTTATTGCCTTTAGTCTTCTATATTATTAGAGTCAGTCAAGAGTTGGTTGGAATTAAGTAATTTTCCACTCTTTGGGTAAAATGGAGTAAGAAGATATAAAATATGCATGGAAGTCTGCCAAGAGTAGGGGTGAGCATCTGACGGTTCGATCGGTTTAAAGTCCCAAACCGTGACCGAACCAGCTATTATAGTTTGAAAAAAGTTGAAACCGAGCTACCTCATTAAGAATGTGTCACGACCCGGGGGCCTGGAAGAGGTGGTCGGAAAAACAGAACGGGAGAAATGGTAGAGGATCAGATAATTAGGGTTCGAAGTTTGAGGGAATTGGAGAAGAAGAGAGAAATTGGAAAAATCCAATTCAATACTATAATTTCTAATGATTCATTTACAGATCCCTGCTGGCTATTCAGGCCATAGATAGATATATAAAAACTACATTTAAGTCATTATACTTTCTATTTCCTTCGATTAGGTTCAAGGGTATGACAAACCCCTCCCCTTAATTGACAGTCTTGTTCCCAAGACTGTCAATACAAAGATACTACTTCAAAAAGAAACTGAACGAATTGAAATTTCACAATGACAACCCTAAATGACTCAAATTACTAAAATAAACAACTTAAACAAATGAAGAAGAAACAGATATGAAACTCAGCAGCAACCATTCTATTAGCCTGCGCTCCTCGAGGGCAACTGCATGGTTGGAACCTTCAGTGCGACCGCCCCAATCATCATAAACTACCAACGCGTGCCAAGCACTCTTCCAAATGATATTAGTATCATTTTCTACTTCCATTGCTGCGATACTTCCTTCACAAACGCTTGTAACTCCTCTAAAACAAGTAGCCACTTGGACCCAATCTTCCCAGACCACAAGAATTCCCAACAGTGTACACATGTTGCCCATTTCATCAAATTCCAAAACTAAAGTACCACCTTTCAAACCAGTTACCACTCTAATCCAGGGATTATGTTCCCTGTTTGTTTAGATGGTCTTTAGGCATATCCTGTCTCTCCATCAATTATTCTCGGATCCCAATCAGCACCAGGAATACTTCTGTATATGTTAGACATCTGGTCTCCAGCATTACAGTCATGAAATTCATCCAAAACAGACCTCTTTTCATCATTACTTCTTCTAAGAACTGAGTTTTCACTAAAAAAAACAGCTGATTACACACGAAAAATTTGTGGATGTAGTAAATTCGTGGTTATTTAACCACGAATTAGACACGAAATAACCACGAACAGTTGACCAGTTTGTAGTTTTTCTTTATACTTTAATTAGCCATGACATTAGCCACATAAAATCCGTAGTTAAAATTTTATCTTGATTAATCTGTGTCTAATAATTTTTTGCCAATAGATTTGGTATTGATTAAACACTATTTTGTTCGTGGTTAATATTTCATGTGTAAATTAAGAGGTAATATTTGAATTAGCCATGAATCCCTGGATAAATCTGTGTGTAAATCCATTGACCCATGTTGACCAAAGAGAAACACAACTTTAGACACAGTATGACAACTATGGCTAATTATGTCGTGTGTAAAACCGTGGCTAATATTTGAATTAACATTGTATTTGCCACAAATATTCATTTTTTGTGGTTAAATATATATATATATATATAATATATATATAGCAGAAAAAAGGTAAGGATGATTTTTCAGGTTCCAACTGACTTAAAAAAATTCAAGGGGTATACCCAGGAGGTATGTTTTAAGCCAGCTAGTGCTGAATAGCATAATGCACCCACGGAGTATACCCAAGGCATGAACATATATACTATCTAGTTCCCTAGTCCCATCCGTCCCTATATTGTTATCATTGTCATTAATCAACAATAGCAAATGGCAGAGCATAGATCTAACCATATTACATCACCTAGATTTACTACATACATAAGGGAAGGAGAGTTGATCAAGAACCAACAATCCTTTCACATATCTAGGCAATAGAGCTAAAGTAGAAAACATCTCTGACACACCAGAAGATGCAATTTTAGATAGTCTATCAGCTACAACATTTACTTCCCAATATATATGAGACACTTGGTAATTATTCCTCTGGATAATCAATGATATTTCATATAACAATAAAAAGTGCTTTCATGGGAAACCCGAATGAATCTTCAAGATATCCGCTAACCCCTTATTATCTGTTTGCAAACAAACATTTTTAAGGCATAACAATTCACACTTGCACAAGCCAAAAAGAGCACCACCTACCTCGGCCATAAAGCTATCAGCCCCTCCCAAGTAACCACTTTCGCCATAGATAAAGACACCACCTTCTCCACTTATAGCATAGCCATAACCTGCTTCATTTAGTACCGATGATCCATCACAATTTAATATGTAAGAGTTAGGGTTCGATGAATTCCATCTGACCTCTTTCAAAACCTGCCGCGACTTAGTAGTCGAAACAGCCACAATTTCTTTTGAAAAAAATTCCTTTTCCACCGAATTCAGAACCTTCATGTTATGCAACTTCATTAAAAGTCCAATCTGGTCTTTTATGACATGAATAATACTCGCCACCTCCATTACCTTCCCCTCACAGAAAGCTTAATTCCTAGCTTTCCATATCTCCCATATTATTATCATTGGCAACAACATATGTAAGAGTCCAAAAGCCGAGTTCCTGTTGGACTTCCTCCACCATCTTTGCAAATGCGAGGCAAATGTAGTTTTATCCTGCAACTTGATATGCATCAACTTTGCAAAATAATTCCAAATGTCACGCACTTTGTAGGAACCAAAAAAGGTATGCTCAAAACCTTCCTCTTGAGTATAACAAAACAAACAAACCGAGGGTAGAGTATAAATTCCCATCTGCCCTAAGACTTCTGGAAATGGTAACAACTTCGTTCGCAACTTCTATACAAAAAAAAAAAAAAAAGAGATTCTTAAAGGAACCTGCTTTAGCCATACATATCTCATCCATTCCTCCATTGGACGCTTCCTCCGCATAACTTCATATGCCGTTCAAACTGAGAACTCACCTTGCGGATTAAGTTGCCACACCAAAAGATCATCCTCCTCCTGAAAAAGAAACTCATAACTAGCAAGAAACAACCTTATATAATCAGAAAGAACATTATGAAATTCCATCAAATAATGTTGTCGATTATGAAAGAAATCTCTTATTGAAAGTTCAGCTCAGGGGGCTGAAAATTAGGCACATCCCATATGACACCATGCTGCGACCAGTTGTCAAACCAAAAAAGACCATTCCCTCGTCGAACTATCAACTTAGTATTGCTTATTGCCCTTGTCTCAACCTTCGAGATGCGACTCTAAGAAGTTTTTCTCTTTGTAGCATTCAAAAGTGAGCCAATGAACCTGCTCCATGGACCCTTCTTTTGCTTGAGCTTCCACCACAATTTGACAGTCAGAGCATCTATATCCCCCTGGAAGTCTCGCAACCCTAGACCATTCTCTGAAACTGGAAAAGTAAGTCTTTCCCAAGATCTCCAATGCTTTCTAGTTGTTCCTTCCGGGCCACTCCACAAAAAACGTTGACACTTCCTTTCCATTTCTCTTAGCACAAACTTGGGAGGTGGAATAGCAGAGAATACATGAATTGGTAATGCTGCCAACACGTCTTAATAAAATAAGACGGCCTCTCGGACTCAGCAACTTATTCTTCCAACCCAAAAGTTTAGCATCCATACTATCCAACAAAAATTGGAATGTAGAAGCTTTACACCTACCATAGTATAGCCGGCACCCTAGATAGGTAAAAGGCAATGAACCCTTCTGAATTCCAAGAGTCTGATGAATTACAACAATCCTCCTTGTGCTACAATTTTCAGCTACCATAAAGGCACTTTTTTGCCGGTTTACCTTCTGGACGGATGCAAGCTCATATGTAATGAGGAAGGAGTTCAACTCTCTCATTGATCTCTTCAAGCCTCTTGAGAAATTTATAAGATCATCTGCAAATGCCAAATAAGAAGCCACCAAAGACCCTCTTGGGGCACCAAAGGTTGCAACCAATGCACAATGCAAGAGATGATTCAATCTTCTAGTCATTGCTTAAGATACAATGATGAACAAATATGGGGATAACAGATCTCCTTGCTTGATTCCTCTAGAAGATTGAAAGAAGCCAACATGGCACCAAAGGTCGCAGCCATTTAACCCTCATTTTCTGAGCCCAAAAATCCTCATGCTCCTTTAACTTCCTAAGCAAAGTAGCTTTTACTTCATTCAGCAACATTCTATCATTTTCCAGCCCCGAAGAATCATACAAACCCTCCAACCGTTGGACATTTGATTCGGCCTCTTTCAAGTTTGCAAAAACATCACCAAAGACCTCCTTATTCCACACCTTCAATTTAGCTTTTAATCGTCTGAGCTTAAGAGAGAAACCAATCATTCCAAACTGGTTCAATGCCTGCTCTCAACTTTCCTTCACAACCATTTTACAGTCATCTCTCCGCAATCACATGTTTTGGAATCGGAAAACTCTTGGCTTACTTGCATTTTGAGGCGCAACAAGGTGTAAAATAGGGCAATGATCTGAGGAGGGGCGACTTAAGTTCTCAACAGAAGAGGAAGGAAAAAGATCATGCCATTCCTTTGTAAATAGTACCCTATCCAAGTTTTTACAAACCCAACCCGTACTTCTCGTTCCACCCCATGTATATTCCTCTCCAATGGGCAACATTGCCATCAATCCACAAGTCTCTATACAGTCATTGAACTCCGTTCTGGCTAATTGATCTTTAACTGAAGAACCCGAATATTCATCCAATGACCGAATAACATTAAAGTCCCCTCCTATAACCCAAGGTGAGTCAATGTATTGTTGCCTAAAATCCACCATATTTTGCCATTTCCTGTCTTCCCATTCTATTAGACTTGGCATACACTGCTGAAAATTAAAATTTGCTGGGAATTAAACCATGTGTTGCCTCAAAATGTAAAACTTGATCATGACCTTCAAGCAAGGAGACCGAAAAATCATTCTGACAAAATACCCATATCTTACTGGTTTCAGACGAACAAACCAAATCAAAACCTAGCTCTCGCCTTATTTCATTGGTCTTTGTTTTGACTAACATTGGCTCCAAAATCATCGAAAGAGAAACCTTATACATCTTAACCAAGGAATTCAACTGGCGTTGCTAGACTTGATTTCGAATGCCTCGAACATTCCATATCAAATGACCTATCACTAAAAACAATTGTGATTATCCACGGATTTTGTGCTCATTTTAACAAAATAAAAAAATAGAAGTTATTAGTTTTGCTATTTTAAGTAGGAAGTTATTTATATCTTTTCTATATATATTTTAAAAAAATTCACTCCATCGGACCCTATTTAAATGTGGGTAAAACTCTCCCTTACATACCCCTTGGTGGGAATTGAACCCAGATCTAATGCCTGGAAGCACAACATCCCAACCACTAGGCTGGCAATCAATTCTCATTTATATTTTTTTTTATATAAGAATTCCTGTACGTAGATTACTATGTGATAATATCATATAAGAATTTAAGCACCGTGCATTATATTTTGTATTTTTAACATGATATCAAGTAATAAATTAAATAACAGGGGCAAGTATGTATCTATTAATTAATAACTACGTACCATGTCTATTGTGATAAATTAAAACAACACATATAACTATAAATGTGAGTAACCAAACAATTAATCTTTCTGCTTAATAACTAGTTTGGACAAATAATTTGAAGTGAGACACAAATTGAATACAAACTTGATCATACAATGTCTCATATAAACGCATACTAATTATAAATGTCAAACATACAATACGGTAGATGATGAACTACGGATTATAAATTGATCAAATAAATTAGAACAACGTGGTAAGATTTATGGGCCAATCATATCAAAAAATACTAAAGTATAAACTTCACTTTTTGACAGTGTATTTTGTATAATAAGATTAAAAAGGTGTAAACATGATTTGATTTTCATTCTGATGTTCATATACACTAAAGTGAAACGTCATTCTTGGAGTGAGGGAGTACAAATTCATGTTTTTGTATATATCATACTATTTAGGTTAAAACTAAAATAGAAAAATTATTTATTAAGGGTGTAAATGAAAATATTTATACTAACACATAGTTCAAATAAAAAAAATATTTCAAAGGTGTCACTTTGTAAATATACGGGTGTCTGTTTTGTAATTTAATAGGGGTCATTTTCATTTTAATATGTCAACACTTGAAAGTGAAACCGAGAAATTCAAATAAGAATTAAAATGTAATCCAACAATTGGGCGGGATGGAAATTGTCAAAGGGGAGGGAAATATTTTGATGGGTCTAAATTTTCATTTCTATATTCACCAAAAGGCCGCTCAAATTTCAGCCCACCTAAACATCATAAAACATATATGTCTCCCTTCATTCCCTTTTAACTCATTCCTCCATTCACCGTCAATATGGCTCCTTCTCCAATTTCCCAATCTCCGAACCAAACAGCCCCATTGACGGTTTCTGGTACTACTTTCCGCCACACCCTCCTCCATGCCTTTATGATTTTAAGCTCAATTTTCACTTGAAGAGGGAGACTAGAAAGAAAAGAGAGAGAATAAGAAAATTAAGAAGAAGTTTTCTCCGATTTAGACTAAGGGGCCATAGCTAGTGCTTCAAGATTACATGAAGACATTGCCGCTGGTTATGCCAATTAGCCATCTCTTCTGCCATTTTCCATTACGGTAGAGCTATTCATGGACAAGATTCAAGTTGTTTGATGCAAACAAATTCGGAAGGTATTTTTTTTTTTCACTTTTTGTTGATTTATTTTAATAATTTTTTTGCTATTCTTCTCCTTCATCAAAAGTCAGAATCAAAATACATATAGGCTCATCCATTCTTGTTTTTTGATTAAACGTATTTGTTTTATTCCTACAAATATTAGTGGTTTTGTCTTTTTAAAGGAGGAAAGGAGTAAACTTTGGGGTTTGATGGATCCTTGAAGGTTGTTGCTGCTGTTCCTCCGGTGCCAAAAGTGGAAGGCACAATTTTGAGTTGCAGATTTGGTCAACATCGTTTTGGGTCGGTAATGCTTTAAGTTATCTCACTAGTTTTTGTTGTCTATGGAGAAATTGAAGTTTCATTGGTAGATCTGTTTGAGAGCACTAAGTCATTTCAGAATGCATTATTAATGTGAATCAATTAAAAAATACATGCTTTTATATCCGATTTCACGCTTCATTTGCTTGTATTTGGACTCATCTAGATGGTTTTGAGATTTGTAGGTGCACATTTCTTATATTTTGTGATTTATCATTGTAGAGAGGTGAAATGGATCAAAAGCCGCACAACTTAAGCTAGGAGTTTTTTTTCTGAATGAATCAAACACGCTTGCGAAGCCGAAAGACAATGGACATACATGCATGCATGAAGTTCAGTTATCAATTCTGCTCAGAAAATTTGCAGGTTTTCAGTAAATATCATCCATTTTGCAGAGGTCATAAGTCTCAAGTCAAAACTCCAATTTCAATGTTCACGGTATCATTGTAAAGCTAGAAAATGGATCTCCAACTTTTGTGAAGAAATCAGCTCCAAATTCCGACTTTATCTTGGAGGAAAAAGGCAAAGAAATAGCTCACTCAAACTGAAAACAGGAGTATTTCATCAAACACTTGAAAGACAAGCATAACTCCTTGAATTTGAACTAAGAACTCAAATTATGGGCTGAAACAATTCTTGGGAGTTGTAGAAGGGATTGAGAGTAGAATTTTGATGCTTATTTCGTGGTCTTTGATTCACAAATCATAGAGATAATCGGAGTTGAAGATCCCGGTGAGAGACTAGCAAAAAACATCATCCCCTCCTTAATCATCTTTTTGTGAAGAGAGGATGGGAATTCGAGCGATTCCGGTGACGGTGCTCGGCGGCCGATAGCCGACGGTGGACTCAAAACGGGGAAGAAAGAAGAAAATTTTGGAAATTGCAAACTTTACCCTCCTGCTTCCAGAAATTGCAACGAAGGTCGGACCTTTCTAAAAGCTGCAAAGAAGGTTCAAACTCAGTCCAATAGTTCAAAATGTTTCCATTTCGGGCCTGGTTCCTTGGATTTCTTCTTTGCTGTGAGCTCAATTCGGCCCATGTATTTGTTTTACTTATTCACTTCAGTCCAAACGGGCTATTTGTCTATAAATAGTCCATTTTGTACCAAATTAAGGGACTCTCCTCTTTAAGCTTAATCTTAGAACTCTTCTTAGTACATTTTCTCTTTGTTCACTTTACCATTTCATAGTTCTAAGCTAGGGTTTATATTTTGTGATTTAAACTAAGTTTTTTTTAGTATGTAACTAATAAAGGAGTCTGGACATTAGCCTAGGGCTTTTGTTCAATGTTCATGATTAGGGAGAAAACATCAATTCTCTCATTCTCCTTTGGAGTTTTGGAATTGTGAAGATGATTGGATTTTTGATTTGGTTTCTACTTAAAAAAGGGAAGCTTTCCATAATCTCTTAATCTTTACTTGTGCTTATTATTCTCATGAATGTTGTTTATCCTAAATTCTGTGTGTTCATAATGTATAGTTCTTAAGTAGATGAACGGTATATGTTCATTCTCATAATTTATGCCTTGTATGCCTTGAGATGTATGTGTTTTGAGTTCAATAATTAGCTCTTTAGTGTTATAGCATACAATTTGATGGTACATTTGAATTGAATGTTTTTGGACATTTATGAATGACTCTTTATCTTCATGAATGTATGGCATTAATTATTGAAACTCTTGTCATTCTACTTTAGGCATAAATAGAATGAATGAGTGGATAAAAGATGTTAATGTGCTTAATCTAATTGGCTAAGGTCAGTTAGGCATAGGGGGTTAGTCCTACCATTCGAAAGACCAGGCATAGAAACTAGAGAGAAAAACATTATCCCCCAATGAAATACTTCTCATTGACGATTTTGTGTGAATTATTGCTTGAGTCCAACGATTAAATGTGAAATGCATGCTTGTGTGCTATAGGTTTTTGTGCAGTCTTTGATTACATGGAAAAATAATACCACTTGGACTTGAGATTGTAGTAACTATACGATACGAAAGTGTAAAGAGTGAATCAATAAGCCTAAACCACCACACTTAATCTAATGACTAGATGCGATCGAAAGAAGATTCTAACATTGAGTTCTAACAACTAGGAATAAAAGCTAGGGGTGTAAAAGGCAATGACTCCATAGACTCCAAAATCTTATTGGCACAGTTAGGTTAAATGAACACAACCTTCAACACATCTTAGGAACACATTAGTAACCTTGTTGCTCTTCCCATTATCCTAGCCCTACTTTCCTTTAGTTATTTTCCTTTTCTTGTTACTTTAATTTTTATCTTAAACTCATTATTTGTGTCATCATTGTTGTGTGTAAAATCATTTGTTTTTCTCAACCTCTCACAATTTAGCACTAAGTTAAGAAATAACCTCCTCGTGGATCGATCTTTACTTACACGACACAACGACGGGCTTCCTATTGGGTTTTGAGTGCGTGCAAACAAGGTTTTTATTATTTGTTTGCTTGTGTATAATTCTCATATACATCCGAATCGCACCACAACAATTATGGTTTTAAGTCATAAATGTGTTGGGGATTAAGGTTTGATTTTTAGCTTCTATTGTACATGTTATGGTTTCAATTTCTCCGTTTGAAGCATATGAGAAGGCCACAACCTAATTTAGGCATTGATTCCCATATTTTAGTTATGTGCTCATTTCAGTTTCTTCCCCTTTTTAGATTATTATGTGTTAGGGCCGGCTCAAGCCCTTTAGGGGCCTAAAGAAAATTAAAAAATTGAGGCCCTTTTTCAATTTATTTTGGTTTTAAACTAGGAGTGATATAATTTTTGAGGCCCTTTTTCGTTTTTTTTCCTTC